GTATGTATGTATGTATGTATGTATGTATGTATGTATGTATGTTATTTATTTATTAAATTTATATGGCGCCCATCTCCCCCAGAGGGTGACTCTGGGCGGCTCACAATTAAAATCAAATATTAAAAAAAAGTAAGAATATAAATATCTATGTTAAATTAGCTAAAAAAATAATACTATATTAAAAAAACTATATACAATTCAAGATGGGGGGGCAGGATCCATTACCCCACCAGCCAATTCCAACAAATGATAGAGTAGCCTATAAAACAGAAATCTGACAGTGATGGGCCTTAATTTGTAGCAAAGTAAGATTTGGTTTCTGCTTCTGGAAAGAATAGGGTTGTGCATGCTTTGAAAATCATTTGGAAGAAGTGCTTTGGACCTCAACTGAGCACAGCACCTCTCTGCTATTCATTAAAGCAGCCTGATGTTTTCTGGGTTTCAGTGCAAGTCTGAAAAAAGATCCTTCTGCTGTAAGAGTTGCAGTTGATTTTATAAAGCAGCCACATCTTTTTCCAGGATCATGCCATCAGTTCTGTCTTGAAAGTTCTTTAAATTCCAGTATAGAAATTTGGAAGCATTCCAAATTATAAAAAGCATTCACAGGAATGCTGTTATAGAATAATTCATAGTGCCAAAACTCTGAAAGTGAGTGGGTTGACTAGGAACAAGAAGTTACTTCAAAGGCTTACAATATATCAATATTGACATATTGTTTTATTGAACTGAAACACTATGTTCTTAAGCTTTTTCTCTCTTTCAGCATGTACAGAAAATACGATTCTACTAGAATAAGGTCAGAAGATGATATGTTTTCAAGTAAGAGGTGCTTAGAATGGTTCTATGAATATGCAGGCAAGTGTTCACATCTGCACATTTCTTAAATTTTGCTAAGTAAGAATTTGGAAAGAAAAATCATTTCCTATTTGAAGTATTCAAAATATTGAATTTTTAATTAAATAAGGATGGCTTCAAATAATTTTACCTTTCTCCAAAATGAAAACATTACACGTACAACTTAAGTTTTGACTTGAAATTATAGACAGTTTTGCAGATACTTACTAGATGCATTTATGAAAATTCAAAGTTGTTTCTAAGGTGCTGTATTTTAAACAGTTGAAGAGTATCTCTTTTTGGTTAATTGGAGCAATGAATGTGAATCTGCAATGTTGTAAATAATAAAATTTGATTCTGTTTTGAGAAACATTTGGGCTCTTTGAACATTTGCATGTTGTGACAGTTATACCTTGTGGGGTTTGAGACAGGGAAAGGAGTTTTTGATCCTTGGACTTACACTGCCTGCTCTGTACCTAAGCAGTGTTCAAATAATTGTAACTTTTGAGAGAAAATAACCTTTGTCATTCACTTGTAGGGACAGATGATGTTGTGGGTCCTGAAGGGATGGAGAAGTTCTGTGAGGACATAGGAGTTGAACCAGAAAATGTACGTTCATGCTCATTTTATAGGTAGTAGGGAACCTGTTTGCGTTTCTCCCATTTCCATTTTTTTAAAAAAACTTTGTGATTTATTTGTTCTGTCACTCTACCCTGAATCTGATGAGCAACTTAAAACATTGATTGTGCTAGCATAGCGTGCTTAGGCATTGCATGATTAAATGGCAAATATAGCTACTTAGGCCTGCTAGCTCCTCGTCTGGGCAGCTGGAGCACACAGCTTCTGTTGTAGTTGGATAGCTGAGGCAAATGGTTCTATATGCCTGTGCATGCAGGATGCATGTTATAGCCTGTGAACCTGTACTTTCCAGTTAGTTTGTTCAGGAATAAATACATCCAGAAACAATGTTGACTTGCATTTGGATAGCATACTTAACAATTTGCTCTGGTAGCGAACTATGACAAGAAGTCCACTTCTTCACCTACCAATGAGATGGATCACCGGGCATGTGTGGGGTAGAAATTATATGCATTTACCACTTGACTGGTTTATGGTGGCCCATTGAAACTATTTGATATTTTATGTTTTTGCTGTGAAGAAAGGATAGTTTTCCAGCAGTCATCTTTCCTCTTCATGGTTCAAATGCTTTTGTCTTTCCATCCATCCCCCTGTATGACAACACTGGGAATGACCCCTGCACTTTTTTAGGTCCAAATGCTTGAAAAAATAGAATTGTGTCTCTCTTCTGCCCCATCCCTGGTTGCCCGCCCCTGGCGTGATACAAGGCTTTGAAGACTCTAGGTGCATTAAGAAAAGTATTCAAGAAATAAAATTCTTCTGTGTGGTTATGTAAGCTTTGGGATCTTTCATTTGTTTATTTTTAAACCAGGTAGCCATGCTTGTGTTGGCTTGGAAATTGGATGCTCAGAACATGGGCTATTTTACATTGCAAGAATGGCTAAAAGGAATGACATCCCTGCAGTAAGTATTATTTCTATTATCAAATGTGAAGTAGCTCCAGTAATGACCTGTTGCCCTCTTACAAAGTTGATCTTGCACATCTACATAAAGTAAAAATCCTGTACTTTCTTATCCAATAATTTTGTAAAGATGCATATAGCACCTGTTTCTGGATATCCATTAATTATTTATATGGTTTTACCTACTGTCAGTTCCACAGGACTTGAGGCAGATGACAAAGAACAAAAGAAACATATTCAATAAAATCAGGAGCATTCAGTGTTAAAAGGCTTACCTTAATGTGCAGCAGGCATACTATGAGTCCTAACACACTGGTGGAACAACCAGTTTTTAAGCAATTTGCAAAGGGCAAAGCAGTTGGGGCATTTTGTAGCTCAGGAGACAGGTGTTTCACAGCACGGGGGCAGCTACATAAAAAGATACCAGGGAGCCCAGCTCTTGAAATTGGACCTGGAAATGGCCATAGCATAGGTGTTATGTGGCTAAATCTTCTACCAGCAGTTAGATGGCCTACTCTGGACACATTAAAACTTCTGAGTTGTCTTCAGAGGCAGCCCAATGTAGAATGTGTTGCTCTAAACATGAAGTGACAAGGACATGAGTCAAAGTATTCAGTGCATCCCAATCCTGGTAGGTCACAATTGGTGCACCAGCCAAAGCTGGGCAAAGGCCCCCTGGCCATGGCTTTCACATGCTGCTCCAGCAGGAGTGATGACCTCAGGAGAACTCCCAAATTGCATTGGGGGAGGGGGGATGCAGCCCTGTCAAGAACTAAAACTGGAGCTGGGGTAGAGCCTGATCTGTCACTAGCAAACAACTGGTGTTTTGTTTTGACCCATCCAGGCCCTCCCTACTTCCAGGCACTGGGTCTTGACTTCCATAGCATTCCTGGCCCTGAGAACCGTCAGCATACTGAAAACGTTACACCCCAATCTGATAGATGGCCTTTCTCGGTGGTTTCATGTCAATGTTATGCATGAGGGAGAGGATGAAGCCATATGGCATTCTGTATTGGAGCAGCCACCCATTCCAGCACTCCTCCTCCACACACAATAATTGAAACTGCCTGCTTACGAGGGAGTGAAACCACTGCAAAACAGTACCTGGAATCCTCATCCTCACAGGCACTCCAGAGGGTTACCATTTACCAGCACCATTGCAAAACCCTCTGGATCCAGCAGGTTCAGGGGAACAGGCATTCTTAATCAGTCTCTTGCCCCTGTGGAGGTTCAGCATGCTTATGACCATAGCAAAAGACTTGATGACAGTGACCTCCATTTCCAGATCATGGCACATCTGCTTTAAGATAAAGCCCAGGTCTAGCATGTGACTATGTGTAAGGACCAAGATTTCCTGATATCTCATGATTGCTATAGAGGAAATGAACTCCTACACCCATCCAGACTCCTTCTCTCTCCACCTCAGGTCTTGGAGGTTAAAGTCTCCTAACACCAAAAGGCTGGGAGACTCCACTACTAACCCTGCAATGAGATCCCCTGCCCCTCAGGCCCAACATAACATGCAGTCTCCCCCAGTCATCTGTGTGGCAGCACTTCTGGTTGTAGCCAGGGTCTCAGGGACAGCTATCACCAGGCCCCCTCCCTGGTCCACTTGCCGCTCACCTCGGTTGCACTCAGTCATATACGGTCTGCTTCCAGATCCTATACCCATCCAAAGAAACCCAGCTCATGACCACTCTTTCCCCTGAAATCCTTTTCCCACTAGGGCTCCAAGTAATGGGGGTGGAAGCTCTTCCTCTCCTCCTGGGGGGAACAGTCTCCTCTGCCCCACATCTCTCTCACGAGGCTGTCCTAGACCTGCCTCTTATGTGTGTTGTAGATGGATTTCTCATGCTATGAGTGCATTAAATGAAGAAAGGGTGTTGTGCACTGTAATTCCTTGAGAGTTGTTTTGGAAAGATTTTTTCAGATTTTAAAAACAAAGGGTTTAAAACTGGAAATTTGTGGGGTGATTATAGCAATCTCATAACATTTAAATTACTATTGATGACAATGAGTATTGTTAATTTTACAGATGTGATACAACAGAGAAGCTAAGGAATTCTTTGGATTACTTGAGATCTTTATTAAATGAGCCTATGAATTTTAAACTTATTTACAGATATGCATTTGACTTCGCACGTGTGAGTAGCCTGAAATTCTGTTAAATCTTCTAGGAAATCAGGGCCAAAATGAGAAAGCCATGTTGGGTGCTTCATTTTCTCTCCTAAATTGTTTGCTTTAAAACAAATACTCTTGATTTGAAACTGAGGGAAGAAATTAACCTTGCTAGCCTGAAGACCAAAATACATTACATGCGAGTTTGAAGCATATTGTGAGGAAGAGCCAAAGGATTGGCTCCACCTCCATTTCTGACCCTCCCCGGACACATTTGCCTTCAGTGTTTTTCAAAATTTTCACAGACCAGCAGGATGTGCAGAGTATAGGATGGGAAATTCCTCCCCCAAGCTAAAGAAACACCTAACCTTATGGGAAAATAAAAGGAATGAACTGGAAGATACAATTTGTACCAGTCCAAATCCATAGGTTTGGCCCCAGCGTCCTCCAGAATTGTATTTTTTAAATTATATTCATAATGTCATAGAATGTTTCAAACCTGAGGGCTGTTTTTGCCCTCAAACCACTCTTGTGTATCCTGGAAGCGGTGCCATTTTGAAATTTTCATACCTCTAGCATTTCATGGGACAGGAAGGGAAGTATTAAATATATGGGGAGTTACCATATGACTAGTATTTAATTTTCATTTAAAAATTACACAGTTACATTTAATTTTTTAAATACTTTTTCCTGGCTCTTCCTGCTTCTGAGACTGTGGACTGTACTCAGAGTCCAGAAGTGGCCTTTCCCTAAAACGTACATCCCTGGTTTCTGAAGCCAATTATTGCAACAAGAAAAAGTCACTATTGCTTTTTATTATCCTAATCACAGATGCTATAATTCATGAAGGTTTGAATATGTCACTTAACATGTGAATAGGTCAGGTCACTTCCTGGGGTTGGAAGTTGGTATTCAAACTGAAGATAGCATTAAATTTGTGCATCTACTTTAACAAATCTTCATTGACTCTAGTTAGGTGTAGCTTGACTGTGCATGCATTAATGAAAACAAAAAAGCAAGGGAATGCTAAATAAAGATAAGAGTTTGATTATACTTTGTGAAGAATAAATTGACATGGCTCTTAGCTCAACTAACCAATATTACAAGTAATTTTTTTTCCTTCTGACAGGAAAAGGATCAGCGAAGCCTAGATATCAATACTGCCAAATGTATGTTAGGACTTCTCTTAGGAAAAACATGGCCCCTTTTCCCAGTATTTCATCAGTTCCTAGAGGTACACATAGAAAATAACTTTTTATGTATAATCTTTTTTAAAAATGCGGCATAAAAGGTTGACATTGAGAATTGACGGTGAATTAATTGAAAATGTTGCTACTAATAACTATATTTACAATTACAGTTAATGCAAATACTTATATAAATTAATACAGATATTTATATATTTTTTTGCTTGGAATTTTTGCTTGGACTAATGTCTGTTAAATTGAGGTTTGCTCGCTAAATGGAGTTTTTACTGTGGTGATGTCTTTTACATCAATTATGTAATTATGCAAATGCCATAGATCTAAATGATGGACATCTGGATCTTACAGACACTCCACCCTCTAAAGTGGTCCATTATATTGAGGTAGTACTAATACCCAAAGTATCTATTTGTGATTTCTGAAACTGAAGAAGCAGGTGACAGTATTTTGCAAGATTCAAACTTTGAAAGAGGCAAAGATTTCTTTAAAATTCCTGTGGCCATGTATCCCAGAAAAGTGTATTCTTGATGCTGCCTTCCTTTCTGTAGCTGGTTTCATCTTGTTTTGGAGGAAGATAATTCCTGGCGCATTTAGTCACCTTAAAATATTTCAGCTATAATATTTATATTTCAAAATATTATACCTTCTATTACATTTGCAAAATTAGCTTCTGCATTTGTAGTTCCCAGCGACTGTGTTCAAAAGGCATTTTGAATAACTGTTATTTTTGTTTTAAGTAGCAATCTAAGTATAAAGTTATCAACAAGGACCAATGGTGCAATGTTCTGGAATTCAGCAGAACCATTAATCTTGACCTCAGCAATTATGATGAAGATGGAGCATGTACGTATTGTCAGGAAAGACAAAGAATCATTTCACATCATATCTGCAATCTATGTGCCTTTTTATGTTTTTGTAATATAATTTTTTAAAAAAATTTTTCCTTCTTTCTTTAAGGGCCAGTGTTGCTGGATGAATTTGTGGAGTGGTATAAAGAGAAACAAATGACATAGGAATTTTAACTATGCACAGCTGCTCAAGAGTCTTTGTTACTACAGTTAATGTCAACCATTAGCCATAAACTGCTCTTTGTATATAAAGCGCATGCTGCTTTTCCTGCACTGTATCCCGTTTTCAGGGATCTTTTGGTGTTTGCTGTTTAACAGGCCAGCTCTGCTTGCTGTGTACCATTGTTCTCTTCGAAGGCTGCTTTGCATTTTGTCTCTACACTACAGATGGTAAATTTACCAGCATCCTCACTGTGATTAATGTGAATATTGCTGTCTAAACTTTGTATATGTGTATAAAAAAAAAAGCTTCATCTAGGAATGATTTCAGCAGAAAGGTATTGTAAAAATTTTGTTGCATTTCTAGTTGAGTCAAGTAACCATGTAACTTAATTTTTAATTTTCACTTGGTCCTGGGCATAGCATTTCAGGGAAAGTGATTGGTGGGATGCTTGTCTTGTGTGAGACTGTTGCTAGTTAGCTAGCAATCATTGTCTTAGGATGCCAGTCTTTGAAAGGAAATCTTGCAGTACGATTTCTTTGCCAGTGCCCAACTTCATTTTTATTTAATAAGCAAGCATTGGCTGCCTTTTTAATTGAAACTCTTATTAAAATTGTTACAGCTTGGACAGAGTTGAACATGCCATAGTAACTTCCGTTTGGTGATAATGCTGATTTCTTAATATTCAGATGCTGTAGTTTGCTAATAGGTATAGGTGATCTAATTAAACATCTGATTAAAAAGGGTTTTAGACTTGTAATGTGGCATATTCCTTTATTTTACTGTTGTTCTTGTTCCCAGAGTGTTTGGATGATCTGGATTAAGACAGAATGAAGTCTGTTTCAAAACTCAGCCCAAATGTATGAATGTGTTTCAGAGACTGGAATCAAATCTTAGCCTGAAAACTCAGCATGGCTGTATTTATTCCAGGGATTAAATTTCTTGGCAAAATGCCAGTTAGGAACAACATCTACTCTAATCAGCAACATTACTATTTATTTGGGATCATTTTATCTGTTTGGACTGGAAAGTTCAAAGAAGCAGATGAATGAGATAACTTGGATGTCACCTTTTTCATCTGTCTTCATTACAGAATTCAATATACATTTCTATAAAGATTTGCTAAGGGGGTTATAGACATGTTGAAAATGCATTCAAAAATCCATTGGTCTTTGTTGAATCAACCAAGAGTTCATTGTGGAATTTGCAAAAAAATATTAGCTTGCCTTTTCCTTTACAGAAAGTTAAAGCTACATGAACATTCAGAATTTAGGAATCTAAGTTAAGCATAAATAACAAATTGGTACAAACCACTTATTTTTATTTTTAAAGCATGTATTTGGAAAAACATATATAGCCTAAACACATATAGCCTCTTTAGGACTGGATACTTCTAAACAAATGAACAAAATAAGAAAAATAAAGGACTGGGATCCAAAGAGGTCCATGCGCAAATGTGATTCTGCCCAGAACAGGAGGTGTGGGCACTGAGTGTTTCTTCCTTTTTGATGACTTCATGACCTTCAGAAGCTTGGGAGCAGGGATTGAATGGGGCAGGGTTATACAAGCTTTTGCCCAAGTAATAAGACTAGAAAGGCCAAGTGGATGCAGTGCAACAGGGACCTTTCACAGGGTATCACTTCTGTTGCCCATGTTTGCCAAAGTACAGTTTGAAGTTGGCTGTGCAGTTCCCTTCAGCTAATCTCTGCTGATTAGCTGAAGGGAACACCATGAGCCATCTAGGCTCCCTCCAATATCCCCTGACCTACATTATTATTATTATATACACATCAACGTGAAATCACAGCTGCCAGTTCTTTAGCTGGTGTTGGCCTTCATTCACATTGAGTTTTTCCCAAGAACCTAGGATGTCGTAATGTATCGGCCTAGTATATGTGTGAATCCAAACAGTGTGGCCTTTTATAATTGACAGATGGAAATTTTGTCAATGCACAGATTTTCAAGGCTTTTTGGTATGGCACCCAGTGTGCCGATAACCATTGGAGCACCACAGCCAGTTTATGCCATAATCTTTCAACTTCGATTTTCAGATCTTGATACTTTGTGATCTTCTCCAGTTCTTGGTCTTCTATTCTACTGTCTCCTGGTATTGCCACATCAGTTATCCATGCTTTCTTCTTTCTAACCACAGTTAAATCTGGTGTATTATGCACCAAGACTTTATTTGTTTGTATTCAGAAATCCAGCAATATTTTAACCTGCTCATTTTCGACTACTTTTTCAACTATATGTTCACACCAATTTTTCATTACTGGCACATGATAGTTTTTACAGATGTTCCAGTGAATCATCTTGGCAACTATGTTAGGTCGTTTATAGTTTGTGCGATCTTCTCGCAGGAGCTGAGTATATGATCTACTGTTTCTTTTGTTTTTTTCTGCTTCTGATTATTATTATTATTTAGTTATAAGTCAACTAATTATTATTTAGTTATAGTCAAAACCTGATGAACTGCCCAAGTGGGAGGATACAAATAAATGCTGCATTTATTACAGGCTACTTTTGTTGAGACCTAAAAGGGCTTTCAGCAACAAAGATAACAGCCAAAGAACGTAATGAGATCTAGTTTCTTTAAAGAGAATTATAAGGTTAACAGAATTGTGACTAGTTAATTCTTGGGACTGATTCTCACTTTTTCTATTTACATGTGAATATTAGTATACAAAGCAAAAAGCACCTGATCAAGTTGTGGAGAGCAAGAGAGGACACACTTCAAAATTGTATTGTCTTCCATTTAAAACTGAAGCAGAAATTGGGTTATAGATGGATTCCGGCTTCAGAAATCACTGTTAAACATGTGCCAGGACTCAAGGTACATGGCCAAATCATTCCACTGGTGCAGAAGTAATAGGCTGCTGTCTATTTTCCTTTGTCCATGGCAAGCCTCTTCCACTTTATGGCTTCTATTCTGGTGGGGTTTGCAAATGCAAAATGTTCTGTAGTTGATCAAGAGACTTTCTTATGTTTTGTTCTCAATAATCACATAGAAAAGAGTATTGGCCTTGGCTGTAAAAGCAGGCTCATCTAAAACACAATTATTAAGGAGACTATTCTAATTACTTTTGTGATATACAAAGGTGAAATGGAAAAAAGTTCCAGTTGGTATATGGCTTAGAATTGTATTTTGGGTTTTTGAAATTCTGACCTACCTATTTAACCAGACTTGTTCAGAATGGCACTGATCCTTGTCACTATTGGGGAAAATAGTGTTTTGTGGAAAACTTTTTTCTTATGTAATGCTATCTGGGTAAATAATTTAAAGCTGTTCATTTTTCACACATTTTGAATTTTTGGCATTTTTAAAATAGTATGCTTGATTTTTTGTTTTGGTTAAAGGAAGGAAGGCCATTCACTGAATTGGTTAATGCTGAAAATGTCTTTTCTACAGAAATGCTAGCAAGATGTGTGTGCATTATTCTAATGTAAAATTCTTTTTAAATGACCAAGTAAATAAACATACACGAATGGGCAAATGGCCCATGAAAAACAGACCCTCTATATTGTCCAGTACCAAAGACTGATGAGTCTTTTATGCTCTTAACTTTCAGAATCAAAAATGGTATTAGCAATTCTAATGCCTATTATTATTTATACCATTTTCTTTTTGGGGTGTGGTTGGGGTCAGATAAATTCAAATTGAATATTGATAATGTAAGCTTCATCTGAAACATTTTTGGTTTGTACAAACCAGATGTTCTTTGCTTTTGTGTAAATGTGGGAAACAAAATTGTGAAAGTGTTCCATAATTTACTATAGTATAAATTTACATAAAGCATTTAAGTAAATGTGAATAGTTTCCTGCTTTCCTTTTTAAACAATTCATATCAGTCTCTCATGCTGAAAGTTAGCAGATACATTTACTACATAAACGCTTCATGGTCTTACATAATTCTGTGCCTGTAGTTAAATTTCTTCCTACTTTCCATTGGCAGCTTTTTCCCCCCTACCACTTTAAGAGAAACCATCATATAGTACAATTTTGTTAAATTCATGATGGGGAGAAGAGAAATTCTAACAATACTTACATACTTGGTAATTGATAATAGATTTGGTTTGTGCCTGAGTAAATTGCAAGTGTTAAATACAGTGGTACCTCGGGTTACCAACTTAATCCGCTCCGTGACTCTGATCGCATCTCGAATTGGTCGCAACCCGAGGCAAATTTCCCCATAAGGTT